TTTGACCCTGAACAAACCTTGGCCCCAAGCACTAAAAAATACAGTGGGAAAAAGGTCTCCCCAGCCACAAGGATAGGAGATCACTACACACAAAAGACCAGCCAATGACACCCATCAACTACAGTTACAGATAATCTCTCCTTCTTAGCACAACAACACACCCACAACAAGACACACTAATCACCCATCTACAGAAAAAGACAAAAGCCTATCACACAGCCATAAATACTGCACTCCGAAGCCAACTACACCAGAGCACAGAGTGCTGTCCTCTGAAGATCCGGGCCACAGAGACTGGCGAAACGTTAAGAAGAACAACTTTCAGAACACGGCCAAAGAGCCCGAAAACCCCAAAACAACCATTATATCCCGGCCGTGAAAGCCTTTGCAAAAACCAACTTTGTCCATCATGCAACTGGTGCATTAAATGTGAATATTGTAGAACCCTCATATCCGCTGGGGATTGGTTCCAAGTCCCCCGTGGATAAGGAAAACTGTGGGTAATAGTGGATACTATATGTAATGGTAAAAAGAAATGTAAAAAAAAAAAAAACAGAAAAAAAATTATTTTCACATGCATTACCAGAACTGACCACAGAGCACACCAGAGACCATTCTTCATGAACAAGTATTCACAACACCGTCTCTGGCTCCATCCAGTGGTCTTTCTGGTAATACATGTGAAAACAGTTTTTTTCCCCTGTATTTCTCCTTTTAATATTTTTAATATTTTCAGACCATGGATAAGTGAACTGTGGATTCTGATTCCGTGGATAAAGGGTTCCTACTAGAAATGGTATAAGTCGCAGTGACAAATTATCACTAATTCATGAGGTGTCCGTAGCATTTTGGGTGTCTACTTACCTGCATCCTTTACAAGAGAACGTAGGCTCTAGCTTAATGTAGAACCTACAAATTTTATTCTCAAGTTCCTTTGAAAACCAAGAAAGATGGGATGATCGAGGTGAGCAGGTCTAGCCCCTCACCTCTGTGTTCCCTAGGTCAGATGACTAGGCCTGAGTGGGGCTCATGTACATTCCCTTCACACAAAAGAGGCTCTGCACACGTTTATAATATTTTGACCAAGGGATAATTAAGAACAGCGTAAGGAAAAAGCTCTGCAGTGTTCAGAGGCACTCAGGATATGATAACAATAACTAAGAAATGAAAAGAATAAGCTGGCAGATCTGGGGAGGGGGAGATAATCATGGCCAACATTTCGAAGATGTATGATGGGGCACTCTTCCTACCTGACACAGCACGGATATCCCGCATCACATATTCCCTGGGCGATTAAAGGATAAGGACACCGCCATGTGGCGCAAACGCCTTGATTAGAGAATATGCAAGTGTTCAGATCTTCTAGTGGGCTAAGGAAACTACAAAGAAAGAATAAAAATATACTTACAGTATAGTCAAGTAGAATTAAACAATAGCACAATTTTCACATTCTGCTTCACCTAACATTGATGAGCAGTCTTCATCTTGCCCTCCATAATCTAAGCACAGCACACAAGATCCTTCTGAATTTCATCTTTCTTCTTCAAAAGGACTGGGAATTATTATATCCTTTCAAGAACTGGGATTATATGTAATGGGGTCAGCGGGATGTTATTTTACTTTGAGAGGGTGAATTTTTTTGGATATAACATAGGACTTGATGATTGGACTAAGATGTGGAAAGAAAGTTATACCATGATCAAACCAGCAAACCTTTGAGAAAATATCCTCAAAATGTTTTATAGATGGCACTATACACCTATAAGACTAGAAAAAAATGTCAGAGGGTAACAGCAATATATGTTGGAAGTGTAAAAAAAAATGCAGGAACTTATCATATGTGGTGGACATGTGAAAAAGTTAAAAATCATTGGACACATGTGTGGGGAAATAGTGAAAGAAATTACCCAGCAGAAATTAGATATAAAACCTGAAATTGCATTATTGAATGCCATGCCCGGAATTAATGATAAAAAAATGAAGCATTGTTTAATGTATATTCTCAGAGCAGCTAGATTACTGCTCGCGTTCTTTTAGCGCAAATCGCGATTTAGCAGAGTAATTCGCAGTCCAGGCAGTCCAGAAATAACTCACGCACACTCCAGCAGCATTTCCTCCACCAACGTGTATTTATAGAGTACTTACAGCAGTCTGGCAGCATAACGTGTAGCAGTCATCTCAAGCAGGAAGGATACATTGTCTGTACAACTCACACATGTATACATATACAGAACCAATCAGATTACATGTTGCATCATCCATGAGTTGCATTATCCATGAGTTGCAGCAACACTGCTGAGTCATCATGACTCAGTTTTAACACATCTGTTCATTATGGCTTCTCATTAATATACTCCATTCTGCTCAGGCCTGTAATTTTCCTTGACAATTACTCTGGGCCCAAAAATGGAAAACCGAAGAGACTCCAACGATAGAAGTGTTGTTAAAGAAGCTATAGGACATAGCAGAACTGGACACACTATCAGAAGCACTATGGGACCAACCAAGAGACTACATAAAACAAAGCTGGGAACTAATATACCCTTGGACCCAGAGGAAGACAGGAGTGTAGGGCAAACTTTACTATATATATTTATCTATTCAGTACACACCGGAAACGGACTGGGGATAGCGGAGGGCTAATGAGGCTGGAGTCTCTGATTCCAAAGGGGGGAGGGTTTAGTTTAGTATAGGGTATAGTTTAGGTTTTTATACCGTTTTGTCTCTGTTTTTGTTTTCTGTATGTTGAATTTAAATTTTAAAAAATGAAATACGATGCAAAACACTCAGCATGAATACTTTTGTTTCGCTTTGGGGCAGGGGCTAACATGGCATGTGTGCAATAGGAAAATTGGCTTTAAAAATAAAACACCTGCTGTGTGTGTAACTGTATGTCAAATGTGCCAGAGTTGTTGTGAGTCTTTCTCTATTTGAAGCAGCTCGCACAAAAATCCCACACATCTACTCAGAAGTCCCATTTAGTTCAATGGATCTTACTCACAGAGGGTATGTGAATACAAGGGGTCGCTTATTTAGGAGGATGTCAAGTAGGATAAAAGAAAATGTACTAAATTTACAACACTTCTCATTTTGATTAAGTTATATATAAGAACAAACAATGGCCAAAAGCCTGTTGCTTAAGGTAGTAAGTTGCTGTTAGAATAGGCTCATTTGAATCAAAAGACCTTTCAAAGGAGTTGACTCACTCAATGTCTATGGATTCATGGGTCTATTCTAGTTAAATTTACTACCATAAGCAACAGGATATTGGACTTTTTCTGACCAACGTGTGATTTGGTTTGGTTTTTACCAATGTCTTGGTAGGCTTGGAACAATATAAGAACTTATATCCATAAGCTGCAGGAGTGGGAAACCTTTAAAAAAATTCTGGGCAGAGACTGTAATTACTGCCAAAAATTTATAAACTATTTTAATAATTTGCAATCCACTGCAAAGCAAGTTTAATATTAGTATTAATATTAATTAACATTTTGAGTAATTCAGTTTCGATTAACTATTAGAATAATGGGGTGTTGTTGAAAACCACCTCTTTCCTAGAGTGGTCGAAATGACCAGATAGACGGGGTATAAATAGAATAAATGAATGAATGAATGAATGAATGAATAAATAAATAAATAAATAAATAAATAAATAAATAAATAATGCAGCCTAAATTTGCATTGGCCTTTTTTTTTGCAGCCATATCACACTGTTGGCTCATATTTAGCTTGGCTCTATAGCAGTGGTTCTTAACCTTGGTTTACTCAGGTGTTTTTGGGCTGCAACTCCCAGAAGCCTTCACCACCAGCTGTGCTGGCTGGGATTTCTGGGAGTTGCAGTTCAAAAATACCTGTGTAACCCAAGGTTAAGAACCACTGCTCTATAGCAGAAGAATATAGGCGGTTAACAATATAACATGATGTAACCAATGCTTCTGTCCAATAAACGTGGCTCATACCAGCATCAGCTAATAAAGCATCTTTCATTGTCTGTAGGACTCCATTCCTATGCTCTGCAACACCATTTTGAAAAGGAGAATATGGGCTGGTCTTCCTATGAAAAATGCCAGTATTTCTCAGCCAAGTTTGAAACTTTTCTGACATGAATTCAGACCCTCTGTCTGTCTGAATTTGTGCCACTTTTTTTGTCAAAACATTTTTCCACATAGGATACCCAATTTTTGAAATGATTGAACACTTCTGTTTTGTTTTTCATCAAGTAACAGAAAGAATACCTTGTATAGTCATCTGCAATGACTAGCACAGACCTTGCTCCACCCATAGGTGGTGGAAAAGGTCCAACTATGTCAGCATGAACTAGCTGAAATGGCCTCTGTGTCTGACTAGTATGCTCTTTTGGTTTTGAGCAGATTTTAGATTTTGCCAGTTTACAAATATTACAATCCAGATAGTTTTTACAAGGTTTTACTTTCACACCTTTAGCAAAACTTTCCATTTTTTGTACCACTCTGAAATTTGCATGCCCCAGCCTTCTATGCAATAGGTGTGCACATTGATCATGAAATGGTACATTTCTAATCATATCTTGTGCCACTTTGTTCTCTTTTAATACATATAAATTGTTTTCTAGTTTTGCTGTGGCACAAATCTCATTTCCTTTCTTAATTGTGCAAGTGCTATCAGCAAACAACATTGTATAGCCTTCTTTATCAAGCTTAGAGACACTGAGTATGTTACAATCAAGTTTTGGAACTAACAGAACATTTTTAAGTTCTTTTCTCAAATCTGGTACAGATATAGTTCCTTCTCCCGTGACGGCAGATCTTTCTCCGTTTGCCAAACTCACGAAGCTGTGCTCTGACGCTCCTAGCAAATAAAACAACTCTCTATTGTTAGTTAAATGGCAAACAGCTCCACTGTCCAGGATCCAGGTGGTGACCTTGGATTTATCAGCAGCTGCCTGCACATTTTTTTATTTTATAGCTGGAAGCTTCTACACAGTATTTCTGTAAATGTCTCTCAGAGCCACAGATGAAGCAACATTTCACAGTAAATGCTTTGTTTTCCTGCTCTCCCCTCCCAGAAGCAGTTCTTCGCTGTGGGCTGTTCTCTCTCCTTCACTGTGGGCTGTCTTCTCTCCTTCGTTGTGGGCTGTCATGTCTCATTTTATTTTCTAATCTTTCAGTCCTTTTTCTAGCCTCCTCAAGAAGTCTGCTCGTCAGGTACTCAAGAGTTAAACCTCTCTCTGGCATGGACTCAAGGCTCGTCACTAACACGTCATAGTCCTACGGAAGACTGCTCAGAATAATATATGCCTTATGCGATTCTGTAAATATCATATTTCTCTGGTGAAGCTCATGAAACAGGTTTTTCATCTTTTATAAATGATAAGACATGCTTTCACCTTCCTCAAGTTTAGCTTTATACAGCTTTCTGGTTAATGATACTTTGCATCCTGCTGAATCACAAACATAAATTCATTTCAAAGTGTCCCAACATTCTTTTGCTGAAGTCAGTCCACTTACATGTGTCAGTTGGCTGTCTTCCAGGCAAAGAATTATAGTCAATAAAGCCCTCTCATTTTGCTTTTGTTCCTCCTCATCTAGCGCAGCAGGGGGATTGCTTACTATCTGCCAGAATTCCTCCCATCTCAGGAACGTCTCGGCTTTCATCGACCATGTCTGGTAGTTATTTTCATTCAATCTGGTTACGGGAAAGCCTCCCATACTCCCAAACGCCTGCATGCTGCTGCTTTTCTCTTGATCCTCCATTTTTCTTCCCCTCCTGGGCACTAAACGGCAGAACTCTCACTTCCCTGGACTCCTTCATGCCTCTCTGGTACCCACTGGTATTCTCCGGCTTCCTTGACACAATGCAGGTATTGCAGGGCACGGCCCTGGGTCCATAACCTTCTGTTAGCATTCTTTTAGCGCAAATCACCATTTAGCAGAGTAATTCACAGTCCAGAAATAACCCATGCACATTCCAGCAGCATTTCCTCCACCAACGTGTATTTATAGAGTATTTACAGCAGTCTGGCAGCATAACGTGTAGCAGTCATCTCAAGCAGGAAGGATACATTGTCTGTACAACTCACACATGTATACATATACAGAACCAATCAGATTACATGTTGCATCATCCATGAGTTGCATTATCCATGAGTTGCAGCAACACTGCTGAGTCATCATGACTCAGTTTTAACACATCTGTTCATTATGGCTTCTCATTAATATACTCCATTCTGCTCAGGCCTGTAATTTTCCTTGACAATTACTCTGGGCCCAAAAATGGAAAACCGAAGAGACTCCAACGATAGAAGTGTTGTTAAAGAAGCTATAGGACATAGCAGAACTGGACACACTATCAGAAGCACTATGGGACCAACCAAGAGACTACATAAAACAAAGCTGGGAACTAATATACCCTTGGACCCAGAGGAAGACAGGAGTGTAGGGCAAACTTTACTATATATATTTATCTATTCAGTAAACATCGGAAACGGACAGGGCATAGCGGAGGGCTAATGAGGCTGGAGTCTCTGACTCCAAAGGGGGGAGGGTTTAGTTTAGTATAGGGTATAGTTTAGGTTTTTATACCGTTTTGTCTCTGTTTTTGTTTTCTGTATGTTGAATTTAAATTTTAAAAAATGAAATACGATGCAGAAAGAACTGATCCATTTGATTGTGATGATGTGATGAATGTTAATGAGAACAGAAGATCCAGATATTCTAGCGACTGGAAAGGAACAAGATGGTCAGAGCTGTATATGAAATATGATTTGATCATGGAGAACAAACTCTTCCAACCAAAACTAAGACTAATTTCCATCCTTAATGTTTCTTAGGCAGGATTTTCAATCCCACCATTTGTGATAATAGTATGGAGGCAGCAGGTCATCTCAACATGACTCTGAGAATCTCATTACATTAGCCTGGCTGAAGGGAAGGCAGGCTGCCCTTTGCAAAGATGACAGCTGCAGTTACCCTGCCCTAAATGAAGCTGCAGCTGCCATTTTTGTAAAGGGCAGCCAGTCTCCCTTTTTATATGCATGGCTGGGAGGCCAGAAGCCGACCTCAGCATCTGCGATTAAGGTAAGGGGGTGTCGGTGGGATGGGGGAGGGCTCAGATAGGGAAAGGAAGGGGGTAGGCTGTGGTATTGGGTGGCTGTGAGGGGTGGCTGCCATTCTCCTGCTAATCAGCTGCAACGTGGCTGGTAGGCAGAATGGTTGTTGTTGTTGTTGTTGTTGTTTAATACGAAGGACGAATAAAAACAGGTCAAGATTTGTCCCTTCGTATTTGTGGGGGTCTCTAGAACCCACAAATATGAAGGGATGAATGCCTAATGAAGCGGCTATTTTCGTCGAAAAAGCCGATCTGTTTTTAATATTCGTCCCCATCTCTAGTTTCATCCACCTCCACCATTTTACTTGTTCTCCTCTTGTTAAGGGATTTATTTTCTATCATGCTTATGCATAGTAGAAGTAGTGTCATTTTGTATTAGCTTGCCATGCCAGAAGCCTAGAAGTATCAAACTCTGACCACTTTACTAATGTAAGGAAAGGAATGTGCAGGATGAGTTAATGAGAACAGGCGATCCAGATAGTCTACTGAATGGAATGGAACAAGGAAAAGGAAAACAGAAACGGGGGACATGGAGCAGTTATCGATGAGCCAGCAAAGAGAGCTAAGTCTAAACATAATGAAGAGGGCAGAAGTCAGCTGGGACAGAAGTTAACTAGGGAAAATATCAATAAAGGTAGATGTTACAATATCTTAACTATACTACATAAGACCAGTGATACATGAGAAAACGGGTATATAAACACCAGCAGACATCTGTAAATTCCAAGGCACATTGTTCAGGGATCAACCCATGTGTACTCCTTTATTCTGCAGAATAAACAATCAGAAAGCCCATTTATGTTGTGCGTTCCCTTTTTCTCCTGCCTTATGGGTAACTGGAATTGGTCTCCCGGGTGTTCGAACTGTTAATTTTTGTAACACTCATATCGGCATCATCTTAACTGTTAGGTCAGTACGACCGTGGAACCAGTGACCTCGGGAGTTGGCGAGTGCTCCAACACTGGAGGCATTCATGAGAAACTTAGATAATCACCTGGCAGATCTGCTTTGATTGTATTCCTGCACTGAGTAGGGGGTTGGACTTGATGGCCTCCTGGGACCCTTCAAAACTCACTTTTCTAGGATTCTATTATTTGCCTCTATCTCTCCATTTCCCTTCACCACCCCTTCCTCCCCCTCATCACTCTGCAAAGTTTCTGTGGGGAGTAGCACCGAGCATCTCCTCTGACTTGGTGGCTTTCCAGATCTTCTGCTCTGACAGGCAAGCCTTGTTCATGAAAAATCAAGAAAGATCTCACATTGGGTGGAGGATCTTCTCCCACAAATTAAGAAGCAGAGAAAATGTGGACCTCGAGGGGGGGGGGAAATGCTAACAAATTCCACCTGTCCAAATGATTTTTCAAAAAGTCGATTTACAAGCAGTAATTAAAGTAAAAGTTGGGATATCGTTGGGAATAGCTGTGTGAGATACCTGCAAACAATGTAGGCTGGCATCTACATAGTAGGAGAAGGCAAATTTACTTTCTTTCCAAGTCTGTCCTAAGAGCAGAAGCCTTTAACAGAACGTGGGCAGAACTCAAAATAATTAGGAGCTGGCCAAGACAGCAGCTTATCCACCTTACCGCACACAGCATGGACTAGCTCTTCCACATCTCCCATCAGGAACAAAAGGAGGAACGCAATGCCACAGCAAGCACTTGCCATGAATGAATAAACAGCTAAAATAACTGTTTATGGGACTAAAAGAAGGAAATAGTGTTGGTTAATACAGAATAAAATAAGAGCTGAAATTCCAAACTTTCCCATTTAGGACCCGCAAAATCTGGGAACAATCTAGCAATCTTCGGCCAAATGCTATGACACAATGGCTGAAATCCAGGAGTGAGTCACAAGTAGAGGAGGCCCATTGAATCAGTGAGGATCTGGTAAGTCAACTCCGTTGTACCTTCCATTGATTCCATGGGCCTACTCTAACAGTTTCTACTGGATTTCTGCCCATATCTCCTTTGCACGATATATAATTGAGTTGTATTCTGGGAGAGGGAATTCTCCCTTCATCCTGTATACTCTGCATGTGCTCACATGACTTGCTAGGGCACTGAATGACAGAGGCTGCTGGCAAGCTACGGAAAGGAAGGGGGATTGCCTGGCCCATTCTGACGGGCTTCCTGTCAAGTGCTCATTCTCAAAATGGTTGCACGCTCAGTTGTGTAACTAGTTGCGCAGCAGGAACATTGCTCGAGAAATTGACTTTCTGCTTTGAGTCATGTGTGCCAAGGTCTTATGGGAGAGTCGCCTCTGCTGTGCCGTAGAGGAACATAGGATGGAGCATGACCAAGACTGGGCCGAACCTTTGCACATTGGAAAGCTCAATAGCAAACATATCCAACTCTGAATTATCTAGAGGAATCTAACATACCGTTTACAACATGTCTTCGACGAGCCACATCGCCCGAGGTTTATGTAATTTTGAGGGCATGGCCCATATTGGCAGAAAGCTCCCCTAATTCTGAGACAACTGAACATAGGATGATCTGATGGGTTCCAAGATAAGAAGGAAAGAAGGCAAGAAAGAGAGAAAGATTATTATGAAAAGAACAAGGTCAATAACAGGAGCTGAGCATTGAGGTTTTGCTTCACAAACAACATCAAGAGCAACGTATTCTCGAAGGCAAACTTCTCCTGCATGACATGGCAGTGCCTAGATAGGGCTGGCCGCAGTTTTCATATCTTGTTCAGTGGTTTAGGCATCCAGCTGCACACTCAGAGGTTGGGAGCCCATTTTCCCCTCTGTGCATCCCAGGAGAGTCAGCCTGTGTAGCATTGGGCACACTGCACAGTCCCAGGGCACCCCAGAAGAAGGGAATAGCCAACCACTTCTGAGCACCTAGAAATCCCTGGAACAAGAAGAAGGGAATGGCCAACCACTTCTGAACACCTAGAAATCCCTGGAAAGGGTCACCAGAACTCAGAATCCCTTCTTGGGATTAAGATAACTTTTAATGTTTATTTACTTTTAATTATTCAATTGTATTTCAGTTAGCATGTAGATTAATTACATTTTTAATGTAATAATATGTTTTAACTCTATTCCTTTTAATAGTATGTTTTTAACTCTATTCCTTTTAATATTTTGAGCTGCTTTGGATCCTTTTATCAGAGAAAGGAGACTTATAAATAAAACAAACAAACAACGAAATAAGCCATCATAAACCACCATTCGTTCCAGTCTCTACCGCACAGCCAAACTGTGCCGGAGAACTCTCATTGCCAATGTGACAAATATAAACCCATCTGGCAAAAGATAGAAACTTCCCTCTCTGTGTTCCTTACCTGCGGAAATCAAGAGCATCCACAACAGAAGAGAAATGAGAAGCCCAAAAGCCTTCATGGCCATTTGGTGGGCAAGTCAAGGTAGCAAGTCAAATGGCTGTTAGAACCACGTCCAAGCGCAGGGTCCCAATCATGGATATGAGATATTGGTCAGCAAACATCTGGGTATCATTGGACTCTGATAAAATTAGAATTAGCGGGGAGATCCTGTCATCCTTGTAGAGCAGACATGGAAGGAAGCCAGGCTTGTCTGCTTGATTTCTCATTTGCTTCGGTTTATTTTTATTTTTGCCCCATGGGCAGAAAGACATTTGTAGAGACTTGAAACACACTTGGGTACACCATGGAAATTAGTGGTGGGCACACAGTGATAGTGACAAAAGGTACTGATCCTTCAGCTGGATAGCTTTTATGGCGGGGCATTCCGAAATCATACAAACACAGGGGAGTAGCTTTTATTTCGGAACATTGTGAACATGTTGGTTCACCTACGATGCTTCCAGAAATAGATGTTTCTGGTAGGCAGTTGAATCAGGAGAATGGCTAAAGATGAGCTCTGTTTCAAACCGTGGGTCCTATCCCCTGATAGATGTATTTAATGTGGCAGATGTCTCTTAAAAGCACTTAATTTAAGGGTGAGAAAATGGGAATGGAGTGGAACAAAAGATAGGACAGTCCAGTGCAAACTGATAAATGGAAAGTTACCAGCTGCAAAATCAAAAATCATTTTAGAGTTAAAGCTGTGTTTGTTCAAGCGACACTGATGTTCTGGAGGTGTTAGGCTTCCTTGAAGTCTCAAAAATAAACATTCCTTCCTTCCTTCCTTCCTTCCTTCCTTCCTTCCTTCCTTCCTTCCTTCCTTCCTTCCTTCCTT